TCCTCTAAAAAATTCATGTTCTTATTTGCTCCACGTAGACTTGGTTTTTGCTCTTCCTCGAAGGCCTTTGGTTGGCCTGTTATTGTTCACATATACTGACTCAGACTAGTTTTGATTCAATACAACAGAAATTCTTATATTAACACTCGATGCTTTTCAATGTTAGCCTGATAATTAGTTTTCCTTTTCTATACGACGATTTTCCTGTGATTATATTTTCCATCTCAGTCTGTGGACTTCAATGAGCCCTCACCAAGACCTAATATATAAATATTCAGTGTAAACTTCACAAATAATACAAGATGGTCTTGAGTCGGGTTTTTCAATAAAAAAGCAAAATGAGGATGTTAAATTTGATGTATGCCTTTTTGTGCTTCTTTGTTACATTTGTTTCTTTTATAGTGATTAAGATGATAACACAATGTTGACTGCTGTACCCCTATTTTGACATTTTTACCTATTGTGTCTGTTTGTTTTGTTCACGCATCGTTGTCAATATAATGGAATTTGATGCGACTATCATACAAGTGAGAGGTTTAGCTAGCTATAAAAGCAGGTTCAATCCACCATTTTCTACATAAGAAAATGCCTGTACCAAGTCAGGAATATGACAGTTGTTATCCATTCGTTTGATGTGTTTGAGCTTTTGATTTTGCCATTTGATTAGGGACTTTCCTTTTTGAATTTTCCTCGGAGTTCAGTATTTTTGTGATTTTACTTTTTGTCTTTGTGTGTTCCTGGTGCAGGTGGGTCCTGAGGTGCGATTTGGACACAAAGGGTTTTTACAGTGTTGTGTCTATTTTGTCTACCCATGTATTTATATATTTATTTATTTTATTCAACAACATATTGCACTACTGATGTTAACTATTTTGATTTTTACTTCATCGAGAAAGTGTATACTGTATACGGTTTGTACTATCAACAACACAAACTTTTTATTGGCGTCCTTGTCAATTTACAATTAACGACAAAAAGTTTATTTTTTTCGTCATTGTCAAATTAACTATCTACTACACAACACCATATTGTTGGCTTTTTTGGTAAATTTATTTGTATGTTTTATTTGAATTTTTAGTCAGTTGTGTTGAATGCCTGTGATGTATGTTTACATACTTTTGGCTGCTGGATCTCAATTATTGTCACATTAACCTATTATGTCTGTTTGGGTTGCTCACCCAATTTTGTCAATACAGCGGCAACTAGAATCAGCTGTAATACAAGTATGAGGTTTAGCTAGCTATAAAACAAGGTTTAACCCATCATTTCGTAAATGCCTGTACTAAGACAGGAATGTGACAGTTTGACAGCATTTGATTTTGTCAGTTTTTATGGACTTCTCCTTTTTGAATTTGCATTGGAGTTCGGTATTTTTGTTATATTTTTTTCTCAATGATTGAAACATCCAAGCACAACAGACATGCAAAAAGATCACACATACATTAACTGCCGTAAATCTGGACCGACAACTCCAGTCGAATTTACTATTAAAACCTCCTGCAATGCCAAAATCAAGGAAAAGACCCACCAGTGTTTAAGCCGGGTAGCATGATGCTTTACTGTGTGTATTTCATAATATTCAAAGATGATATAAATAACGTATTTGCATAAGTTTATTTTAAAACGCTGTGGCTTACACGTGGATTTTTATTATAACCATACAACAACAGAAATTTCATGCGATATCCAGTATTTATATCTGTGAATGGTTTTGAGGGCTTAATTCATTATCTTTTCGAGTTTTTATAGTGATTAGGATTATAACACAATGTTGACTGCTGTACCCTAATTTCTTACATTTTACCTAGTATGTCTGTTTGTTATGCTCACACATTGTTGTCAATATAATGGAATTCTATACGACTGTCATACAAGTGAGAGGTTTAGCTAGCTTTAAAACCAGGTTTATTCAACCATTTTCTAGATAAGGAGTCGTTCCGTTTTGAATTTTCCTTGGAGTTAATCTTAATGACCACTTGTACAAATATAATCTTACATTAAATAGATTTTGCGATTTCTGCCCAGGTAACCGTATTGAAAGCACTGACCACTATTTAATTCATTGCGTCCGTTACACGAACTATCGGATTACTCTTCTACTTGGTATTAAGAATCTGATTTGTCCAGATATAAATATAGCAATGTTGCGGGATCTATGTCCGAACTATCTGAGCAAAATTTTAATAGAAGGTAGTGACGATTTGTCTGATACTAATTTAGATCTGTTTGAGTGTGTTTCGATATATTAAATCTTCAAACAGATTTTCTCGATAGCTCAATAACTTAATTGTACTATCTTTTTCCTTGTAATAAAACATATTAGGTATGAAACACATACATACACTTATATTATTTTATTTTAATTTATTATTCTTTTTTTTTTTCTTTCTTTCATTTGACCTGATTGTACTCAAAATCGTCTTTCCATAATTATTATTCTATATTACTGCATCATGCTACCCGGCTTAAACACTGGTTGGTCTTTACCTTGATTTTGGCATTGCAGGAGGTTTTTACAGTAAATTCGACTGGAGTTGTCGGTCCAGATTTATGACAGTTAATGAATGTGTGATCTTTTTGCATGTCTGTTGTGCTTGGATGTTTCAATCATTGAGAAAAAAAGCAAACGAGCATACGATCGGATGATATTCTCAAATTTGAACACATAATTTAAGCCACTAAATAGCCCATCAATAAACTAGTCTTTTTGGATAACTATTTATTTTTCTTCTGTAAATATTATGTTGTAATTTGCTCCTCTGGACTTTGAATTTTGCTTTTGCTAAAGGCCTTACGTTGACCTGTTACTGTTAACATCTTTAGCTTTGGTCTTGAAAGGATAGTGGTTTCATTGGCAACAGTGCCTCTTCATTTATATATTGTTCCCAGATTAAAAAAAAATTGGTATCGACATTTTGTATCTGTATCGTTACGTCGAAGCTATCAATCTTGGCTTTAACTCGACAGAAGAGAGAGCACATATGAACGGTGTTGGAGAGCTGTTTTGAAATTCCCCACGGACTTGGGGCACATTATATCTTCTTCCAATTAATTACCGTGTTAACACAGAATGAGTTCTTGGATTGTTCAGTTTTGCAATTAGTTGTATCAAGTGCCTTTGAGTTGTTTTGACTGAATTGTTAACTATATTTGCACTTTCTTCAAAACGTTTAGGTTAAATAATCCTTTTGATTTTGCTTTTTACCAAATATTCGTCGGGTTTGAAAACTGGCCCTTAAACCACAACCACTTTGAACAGAAATACGACTAGTTCTTGTAGACTGCTGATTATCTAGTTCCAAGACGGTAAGCATTTTCGTGACCAATCCTTCTTCTCTATAGATTTGTAATCCCCTGTGATAAAGCGTGCAGCTCTACGCTGGATCTTCTCTAGTTGCTTAATGTTGTTTGTGGTATATGGATGCCATACCATTACCCCATATTCCATTGTAGATCTTACTAATGAGATGTAAACTACTGAATTGCAGTTTTTTGGGCAGAATTGTAGTTTGCGTCTGAGAAAGCCGTGTTGAATTTGCGTTCTTGGATACAGTTGAGATGTGGGTTGTCATTATATGTGACCACATAGCTAAGTAATGTTGCAATCCGATATGAAAAAATTGTTTTAGTATCAGGAAACCACTTACCTGCACAAATTTTGGTTACTTTGACCATGACCTTAGACATGTAGTGATCTAATAATCAATACACATCATCTTCTCATATGTGAACACATTTCCAATTAAGATTGCAGTCCGATAAAAATATTTGATTAAACATCCTGAAACCACATTTCTGCACAAATTTGATCTATTTTTAGTAGCTATGACCTTGACCTCAGTTACCACTAAATCATTAGGGATCGTTCTCTTATTATTTGTGCCATATTTCCAAGTAAGGTTGCAATCCCATTTATACTATTTAATTAAGCATCTGGCAACAATATCCTGCACATTTTTTTATCCATTTTAGTACGACCTTGATCTTGGATACAGTGACCTTAACATCAAAAGGGCTCTTTCTCCCATTATTCGTGACCATATATCCAAGGAAGGTTGAAATTGGATATATAGTATTTGATTGAGCATCTTGAAAACCAAAGTTACTGATAAACAGTTCAAAACTTATTACCCCTACTTCTTGAAAGATTGGGGTATAAAAAAATAAAATGTATCAACATTAGTCTGGGAGAACATGATTAATTTATAAGTTGTAATTGGTGTTGAACTAGCCAACAGTAACTGCAGTGCTTTGTGTCTATTGATTTTATGATTTTTCTTCATACAGATCTATTGAGTTGAGCCATTGCAACTGCTTTTTATAGTTTGTTCTTATGTTGTGCAGTAATACTACCCTCCTTGATTAGGGAAGAGTGTGCACTCACAAATATGTTAAACCCCACCTCATTCTTTAGTTGCCTGTCCCAAGTCAGGAGCCTATAATTCAGGTTTCCTTTCGATCATGTCTGTCATATTTGTTTTTAATAATTTGTATTGTTATAAATTAGGCCTTTAGTTTTCTCATTTGTACTGTTTCAAATTTTTATGTAGGGGCCTTTTATAAACAATTATATGGTATGGGTTTTTTCGATTCATAAAGGCCGTCTAATGATCTTTAATTCCTTATATCCACTTCATTAAACTCTGGTGGATAGTTGTTTCATTGGCAAATATACCACATCACCTTATTTCAATATTGTGGCAATTCTGTGAAAACAAATTGAAATTTGACACTAATATGAAATCAGTTACAGGTGTAATGCTATGAAATAGCATAGTGGAATGAATTATATCTGACAGGCTGTGCTTATTGCAGTGTCAGTCCAATCAATTTGGTTATGGTGTTGATCAGTTTTTTTGATATTTTAAATATTTTAAATATTGCTAGAAGCTAAGTTTTTGTCTTCAGATGAAAATTTTACAAAATCCCAGTTCACAACACAGATCAAAGAAGCCTTGTGTTTCCCAATAATTAATCATAACATACAACACCAAAACAGATTGTAAGTCTTATGTCATGATTATTTTTTATTATATTAAATAATAAAATACAGATGTATTTTACTATGTACCAGATTGATATAGAAGTACAGTGAAGAACACTTTAAAATTGCAAGCTTTCCACATTTAAACTTGATTCTGTTGAGGGTAAATCATACTGCTTATACTATCTTCAAGTATTCTATATAGTTTTAGAACTAATTTAGTAATCATTATTGTTTCCTTGTAAACAGCTGCCTGCAACAAGTTAAAAGGTCAAAAGTTGAAATACAATTAATTTTGAACAAAATCATTTAACAACAAGAGATTGGACCATATGATATGAAATTAACAATGAAATGCAAAAGTTTATGAACTACATGTATGTATGTCAATCTCATTCAAAAGTGGTAACAACTTTCTTTTATACCATAGAACACATGATCTATAGCAATCACATCAAAATGTCATGTAGTATGTTTCCTCAAATGTTATTGTATGTTTACAATAGTATTTAATACACAATGTCTTTTACAGCAGTTACAAAAAATATTCCTTGTTATTGAATATTTTAAGATTTTGAATAATAAAACATTCTGAAGTTTACTAAATAACTGACAGAAGCTTATAAATCCTACACAGAACTTCATCAACTTCAATGCTACAGAGTATATTTTGTTTGTTACCACTTTAGAGAGATCTGACATATTGTTTAAAAATTACAGTCCAATCTCTTGTTTTGTTTTTCTCTCGCTCTCATACAGTAAGTTCGGACATATTTATCTTTTGGTTCAGGCCACAATGATTTTGTTATTATCTCCCTTTAGTAAAAATTGACAATTAAAAAGTAAAAAAGCTACTGATGTTGACTATGTTAGCATCACAATCACAATATACCCTTAAGAAACTCACAAATACAACAATGGTGGAAATATTTGCATTTCTCTGGTGGTATTCAGCATTCATTCACAGTCATACACACTTTCATCATTTAACAAATATGTTAATAAGAACACTTTTTAATAACTTGTAATAAAACAATTAAAATGAAAAAAAAAAGTAAAATAAAATAAATGCATGACATAAAACTGTAAGCCTAGAAGCTCTATCTGTTCTCCTGCTTTCCACTTAATAATAAAATCATGATCACAAAATCTTAAAGATAATAAACATCAACAAATTGCTTTAAAAATACTGAAAGCTTACTGTAGGAAAATAGAACTGCTTCCTGCAGCTTAAACTACAACCTTTTAATAAAAATAAATTAATTCTACGTACTAAATAGAACACCGTGTCATGGTAACTAACATTGAAACACACTTCAATTAATTGTATAAAAGTTGATAAAGGTCTTAAATGACTTGCCAGTATTGTTTATAAGAATCGGAATAAATAATCTTAATTTAAATTCATTTCATTCATAAATTAAAAGGAAAATATGAACTTTTCATTTAATAATCTTTTAAAATATTGTTTTTAGAATCTATATAAATAATCCTTTTATCAATTGTGAGATCAAAATCGATTTCATTCATGAATTTTAATTTGTAACTTAAAAATATTCTTATAAAAGCAACATAATTCCAGAATTTTAACTTATTCATAATAAGTACAAATTACTGCCAACATTTCTTCAGTGTTACTGTTTAAATCAAGATATTAAATGAATTTCAGACTGCTAATTTAAACTTGTCCCTGGATATAATATAACATGAAACTCTGAAAGAAGAAAAATTTAAGTGTTTAAATTTTAAATAATTGAATAAGCACATACAATTTGTGTTTTATTCCAAATAAATTCAGGTAAACAGACCAAAATGCAGTGATAAAAGGAAGGAACCACAACACATCTGACATGCCAGGATCTACTACAGATAAGACACATCTATTTAATTAACTAAAAACAAACTCTTTCAATACCCAGTTCTCCATTCCATTTTAGGCAATTAAATGAGAAACTTTTGTATAAATTTTCAGCAAAACCAAACTTATAGTAAAAATCAATTAGATTTTGGGGGATAATTTCTATTTGAAAACATTACATTTAAATGTAATAAAGATTATATACAGTATTAAATGATTTAAGTGCATTTTTCTAGAAGTATCTACTATAGGTTAATATAATTATTTTCTATCAAATGGAAAAATTGTACCCCAAAATTAGAAAAAAAAAAAAAAATAAAAAAAAAAATAGAGATTGTACAGCTATACTAAATATATTTCATTTGAAATCAGTTGATGAAATTTTACATGATGACTTTATACTGCATTAATAAAAGCAAAATAAAATGATTTCTCCCTGAGTTTGATCCTTACTTCCAAATTTGTAGAAATGAATAAGGTCAAAAAGTATTCTGAAAAAGCTAAAATGACAAATAAAATTGCAAAATGAGCGAACAAAACAAAATAAACAAATTAATGAACACATGGGTAAATGTTATATGTAAAACAAGAGTTCACTCCCTTTTATCAATACACATGTCACATCTGCTGGGTTTGCCATTTCACATAATGTAAGTCATGACTGCTAATTAGTAAATGCCATAATAAAAAATCAATTTAATAAGAAGAAAGGAGAAAAAGATTTGATGAATCGAACTGGTAATAAAAGATTTTTAGACAACTACTTGCATCTAAACCAAACTATACAATATCCTGTTAGTACTGCTCTTTCAAATCAATAGGTGTTTCTGACAAAAAAACAACAACATTGAATTACTGCATTAAAATTCCTGCTCAAATGTATTGCATCTTTACCTTCTACATATGTACAAGACAAATTTCAATTTTCTTATATAATTTCTACATGTTATTTCAACAGCATCTCAAGATGTTTAATTCATCAGAGCTTTTAACATTTTGATAAAAATGCCAGTAATAAACATGTTGACTTTACAATCAAACAGGAAAAGTAAGGGCATCGAAAAATAGTGTGACGAAATGTTTGAGAAATTACTTAGAAAACATGTTTATAAAAGATAATATATTCATTAATATATCAGTGGTTATTCTTCTTTGAAAGATATTTACTAATACACATGTTACACATATTCAGACAACCAGAACATAAATTTTTTCATCTAAACTTTTTTTAATATGTTGCATGAAACTACATCAGAGATATTTCATAATTTTGAGATCATGACTATGTGTGACAGCAGTAAAAATGAAAGTTGTAAGTTGCTTCATGTGCAAAAGTTGCTACTACATTTGTTTATCAATTTAAAAGCCTTGATCAATAAATATCAATTTACACAATGTAGATCATATTTAAGTAATGTTTTCAAGTATTGAAGTACTTTATAAAACAATTTTTTTTTTCTTTAATTGAAAAAATATTAGTTATCAAGAGTTTATATTTGTGCACATGGCTTATCCAGACTGAATCAATAAAATATCACATAGAAATTTATACAACAAGTACTGACTGAAATTTATGAATGATATTGTCTCGAATTTATACCAAAATAATCCTGTTAACAATTAACAGTCTAAAATAAATGTATGAAAGGCAGCTGATATCAAATTATTAGGCAGTGAAAATTCTGTATATCTAGTAAGTAAGCCCAACAGAAGTTGTGCAACAGTACTGCTATTGAGGTAGCCTGATAAACTTTTCATAAACATTATAATTATTCAAAAAAATCAGTTTTGTTTTGCACATTTATGTTATTTTAGTATTTTAAAGTATTTTTTTTATACATGAATGACTGAAGAGTGACCAATCAGAATCTGGATTACACACAATGAAATACTCTAAATGATCAAGATAATATGTTTTATTGCTATTTTTTTTCCTTTGATCTTTCTGTGTGATAATTTTCTATCTCAAGCTACTTGACTGAGATAAGTTTATCTCAGTTGAGCATAGTGAGATTGTGATGACATCATTTATGTTACCTAGGAAAATACAGATATACAGATTATCTATGTTCTTTCAAGCTAGAGGAAGTTTCTTGGCTACATCTCATTTCAGGGCTATCACCCTTGCCCTTCAATGAGATTGTAGCAGAGAAACTCCCTCTTATTTTCAAAACCATAGGTAATCTTAATTATCACTGTATAAATACTATTTTCTTCTGTAAGTTATCAATAACAGAAGTTTCTCTTTTTCTTTGATCCTTATGATAAAACCTATTTGGACCTGTATATGAATTGAATGACAAAGATAAAATACATTTAGCAGTTCAGTTTTATAATCTAACCACAAGTGGTGTGCAAATTGTAGCAGTCCTTACATGTACGCAGCTTCTAATTTATTTAATCATGCATATTTTTAAACATTGTATTTCAATATTTAGCTTCTGATCAAAAGAGATATTTATAAAGACAAACAAAATGTTTTCACATAGCATCAAAGATATAAATTCTTACATAAGTAATTCAGTCTTGAAACAAGAAAAGAAAAACAGTAGCACCATTAAAAAGAAAGCTTAACAACTTAACAGAAACATAAAGAAACATTAACAAATGAAACCCTTATTTTATAAATGTACTGTATAAAAGGCGAGCATAGTATAAGATTAAAACAATAGGTGCATATTAAACTGGAGCACATACAACAATAGTGCTAAAAACGTACATTCACAGTTAAAAATATCATCAGTCTTACGGATTATGTTATATACCCACAGACAATTGCATAAGTCTGGTAACAAATAAAAATCCTCAATCCCACTCATCGAAAAATAACAATAAACTTAATCTTCACAGTATTCTGCAATCAATTTAATAAAATATATTACCAGAAAAACTTCTTTTATGTCATTTATTTATTGTGATTAATTGTGAAAAGACCAACTGTTTTTTTATTTAATTGCAGAAATTTCTTATCATTTTAATGCTTTATATAAAGGAATAGTTTGATTTTTTACCCCCTTATTTTGGTTGATGAAATATTCCATCATTTTTTAATTATTCTTAGATACTCTACCAAGTGTAGTATATTATATAAGGTAAATAAAAAGTGTGGTACATTATGAAAGGTAAATTAAACTTTATTAACTAAAAGGAGACAGCAAACTTAAGTTTTTTTTCCAAAATAATGTCTGTCCATCTTACAGCCAGTCTTAATTGATTTAAATATTGCTGTTGTAAAAACTTGAAATATAAAGTAACTGCCAGTGGGATTGACCAGTGGGATGGACAGTCATTTGGGTTTGTTTTTTTCTGGTCTTTATATTTTGGCTACTGTTTCTATATAGGATCGTAACAGTAATAAAATTGAAGGATTGAAAAAATAATTAGTATTTCAATAATTTTCTTTGATTCAGTTGCAGCAAGCAGTAATCTCTTAAAAAGAAAACCCACACTGCAGCCAAATCAAAGGTAGATACTTTTATCAACCTTAACATCCTAGATCTGTGAATTAAGTTATGGACAATACTTTAACATTAAATTTTATCTGTTATACAATATGATAAAATGAAAGCACTAAGTTTTCATGCACCAATACTTTACAGCACTTTTATAACAATAAATGGCTATACCTATCAATTTGTTTTTGTGAGTAGTCAATTAAAATATTGTCAAAATATTAAACAATGAATCAAATACCTATTTTGTTATTGCAAGACACAATTGTATTTTAAATTGTTAAAACATGTATGTATGATACATTAAAGGAATATACCTTTTAACCATACATTTGTGAAGATAAGGCACCTAGGGAAAATGGCAAAAAATAATCCTACACTCCATATAAAATATAGAATATTTTAACTCACATTTTAAGAAGGATATATACCTACAGCTGAAATCAATATGAGCTTATTTTATAATTCTTTCTGCTCTTTTTTGCTTAAAAGATAACTTTGGCTATGACAATTGATGTTCTAAAGGAATTGAAACATTGTTTTTTTCATTCAAAGAAATTTAGTTAATTGCATTTTAATTTAAGAATTAAATGACTATCACTGTTGTTTTTGTAATGCACTAAATAATCATTTTTACTTTTTATCACTGAGAATATACATGCACTAACATATGTTCAATTATGTTGGAAACAAGGTTGGATGGAATTAAGAAAATTAAGAAAATTTATAACATGAGATCAAAACATTTTCTAGTTAGATTAAAAAGAGATTCAACAAAATAGATCTACTATTCTTAACCAAAGAAAACTAACATAATCCTTAAGACTGAAGAAGTCAAAACATTAAGTCTTTACTACGAGGCTTTGTGCCGACCTCCACAGCAGCCACATGACACACCACATTTGTGGCATGCCATACATGGCCAGTAGCACCATAAGCACGGCAAAAAAAGTGAAAGAATAGTTAAAGCAGTCCACTTTTTACAATTTGTCCTATCACTTGTATCACATACACATGGGTGTCCATAATCACCATCGGGATCTGCCATACAATGGTAAATTATCCCTTTAGCACACCATACACAAGTCACATATTCAATGCACTTTTCTACTCCATCTGGAGCATCTTCACAACTTCCACGAGCATTATCGTCATGTGAAAACAGTTCCCGGCAATATTTGCACCGAGATTTCTGATTCTGTAACAAATGTGTACGATGTTTGTCTTTTTGCTTTTTCTTCGGCAATGGTGGATGTTGATGCGGTAAAGAAGTCTGACACTTGTGCATTGCTTCTCTCTTAGAAACAGGTTTTTGCACAGATTCTAAAGTGGGATAACTATATTCATGTTGATCTTTTTTGGCAATAATTACATATGAATATTCTTTCGTCTCAACATTATCGTTTTCTAACAATCCTTGATCTGACTTAGATCCCACAGAAGTCGGTTCATCTGATTTAATATATATTTCATCCTTTTCTAAATTGTCTGATTTAGAACTGTCACTAGGTGGCGATCTAGCGGATGAACGATGTGGTGAAGTGATATAATGCACTCTGTGCAGATGATGATGATTAGCATGTGAATGTGTATATGTAAATGGATCAGGCATTCCTGACACAAGAGATGAGGGTGACTGTGGTGTAGGACTACTAGTAGTTGTTGAAGTTGTACTTGCAGATTGTGATGATGAGTCTCGTCTAGGGATGGGAAGATCTAAAATCTGAAATCACAAATAAAACTATCATAAATTTACCACATATTCTTTATGGGCATACAATACAGTAACAGGGGAGGTAATGATGCTGCTAACGTAAAATGTTATTTTTTACAACGTCAAACTTTGACATATCGGGAAAAGACGCATTTTTCGAGTGATTCTATTCATTAGCTTCCAAACAAGTACATGGACACCTCCTTTTTAAACTGGCATTTGACTTGATACTGTATGAAGATTGTTTGTTCCAATTTTTATGAAGAAATCACAGATAATTTTTAAATTGGATAAATATACAGCAAAAAAATGAATTATTTATAAAAAATTATTACACAAATTAAGAGCATAACTTTATAACGTAGATATTCTAAATATGTTTACAAAAATCTGCATGTTTTTCTTTTGAAACAAAAAAGTAAAATATGTCCGTCCAAAGCATAGAAATGTCCAAGAAACCAAAATTTTAATTATATGTGTAAAATTTTGACCCCATATTGATCTTTTAATTTAGCACCTTTAAATTGACAACAAGTCACATAAGATTTCACTTGTCTTTTTCATACTGTTTTTCTATAGGCAGTGTTTCCATATTGGCATCCCTTTAATGATCTATTTTATGTCTACCCTTAACAGTTCATAAAATTATGTAATTGTTCTCAAGTGAAGGTTATAACTTCCTCAGACAAAGTTGACTTTTGATGGTTTTGTCTGTTTTGTTTAGGTCTTTATGGATTTAAAGCACTCCAATTACTTTTGGCTTTCCTAACTTTGAGTGTTTAGCGTACCTTTTGAAGGTTATGCAAGAAACATGTATTGTGCCCTGGGACATTATATCATAACTTTTTCAACAGGGTATTGGAATACGGTTACTATTTGAATTTTTAATGTTGTGTTTTTTTTCCATAGTTTTCATACTTTAAACCGCTGAGTTTCAGTTTTGGTTGATAACTTTCATATATTGTTCAACTTGTCAAGTGCTTAAGTGAATCAGCCTTTTCTCTATAATGAATAGAAAGTTGTACAACTAGTCAACACTCTTCTCAGCTTTTCAAAATCACTACGTCTCATGACTGTCTACTCCATATCCCATCTTCTACATTAAGTAAGCATTATTTGACACTTTTCCCTTACCGTACTTACAGCAAACACTTCTTCGTCACCATCTAGATTTGACAGATTAGAATTTCCTGAAAATTGAAAGAAAACTTCAGTTAAATGTATATATAAGATTTTTAACTAGAAGGATTATATATGATGGTCAGTATGAAAGAAAAATACAAGTTATAAATATAAATGGAGATGTGTTGTGTACAAAATGAGACAGCTACCCACCACAACAAAAAACTGATATCTAGGTCAACATATGTTGGTTTTTTTTTTATTAAATAGTCTCCTTTGCTGAAGGATTAAATATAATTGAACTCATATTTTGGGTTCCTTTTGAATTTAAATGAACATTTCATATCATAACAAACATTATCATTTTATTTTTGTTGTTACTTACTAAAATAGAGTTATTGGAAGTGATGCTCTTATATTGGTAAAATGAGGAAAAAAACTCTATCAAAAGTTGTATTTGAAAAGATAAGTAATCATTTAAGAAATAATTCAATATATATATATAAAAACAAGAGTGCACACGCTGAAATGTCTCGCCTTCTTTGCTAACCATTGATTTTATGTTGATAGTACTAAATATAAAGCTTTACTACAAGTAACACATGAACTTAACATGATCCAAGAAAATGAGGTCAAGGTCAGATAAACCAAATGAGAAATACATGTACACCTTACAATCATTCAATAAACCTATTGCTTATAGTTTCTAAGAAACAGTCTTAACCAAGAAAACTTAACATTGACTAATGAACCATGCAAATGAGGTCAAGGTCAGATGAACCATGCCAGACAGACATGTACACCTTAAAATCAATTTATGCATTAAATATAGTTGACCTATTGCTTATAGTACCAAAGAAACAAACTTAAACATGAAAACTTAACACTGACCAATGAACCATGAAAATGAGGTCAAGGTCAGATGATACCTGCCAGACAGACATATACACCTTACAATCCTTCCATACAACAAATATAGTTTATCTATTGCTTATAGTTGAAGAAAAACAGACCAAAACACAATAAAATGCTTCGCTGGGCGCAGCTTGATACGACCGCAGAGGTCGAACCCTGAACAGTTGGGGCAAGTATGGACACAACATTCAAGCTTGATACAGCTCTGAATTTGGATTGTGATTAAATATTTGACACAGCATAGGTTTCTGACACAGAAAGAATGTGGTCTAAGAACTTCAATTTTTTTAATTTACCTATTATGGTCCAATGTCCAAAATCAAAATACATGGTTAGATTCAGCATATCAAAGAACCCCATATATTCAATTTTTGTTGAAATCAAACAAAGTTTAATATTGGACCCCAACTTGGACAAACTTGAAAACTGGTCCCATAATCAAAAATCTAAACACATGTTTAGATTCAGCATATCAAAGTACCCCAAGAATTCAATTTTTGTTAAAATCAAACTAAGTTTAATTTTGGACCCTTTGGACCTTAATGTAGACCAATTTAAAAAACGGGACCCAAAATTAAAAGTCTAAAAACACGGTTAGATTTGGCATATCAAAGAACCCTAATAATTCAATTTTTGATGAAATCAAACAAAGTTTAATTTTGGACCCTTTTGACCTCAATATGAACCAATTTGATAGCGGGCCCACAAAATAAAAAATCTAAATACATGGTAAGATTCAGCATATCAAAGAACCCCATATATTCAATTTTTGTTGAAATCAAACAAAGTTTAATTTTGGACCCCAATTTGGACCAACTTGAAAACTGGGCCAAAAATCTAAAATCTAAATACATGTTTAGATTCAGCATATCAAAGAACCCCATATATTCAATTTTTGTTGAAATCAAACAAAGTTTAATTTTGGACCCCAACTTGGACCAACTTGAAAACTGGTTCCATAATCTATCTAAACACATGTTTAGATTCAGCATATCAAAGAACCCCAAAAATTCAATTTTTGTTAAAATCAAACTAAGTTTAATTTTGGACCCTTTGGACCTTAATGTAGACCAATTTAAAAAACGGGACCCAAAATTAAAAATCTAAATACACGGTTAGATTTGGCATATCAAAGAACCCCAATAATTAAATTTTTGATGAAATCAAACAAAGTTTAATTTTGGACCCATTTGACCTCAATATGAACCAATTTGATAGCGGGCCCACAAATAAAAAATCTAAATACATGGTAAGATTCAGCATATCAAAGAACCCCATATATTCAATTTTTGTTGAAATCAAACAAAGTTTAATTTTGGACCCCAATTTGGACCAACTTGAAAACTGGGCCAAAAATCTAAAATCTAAATACATGTTTAGATTCAGCATATCAAAGAACCCCATATATTCAATTTTTGTTGAAATCAAACAAAGTTTAATTTTGGACCCCAACTTGGACCAACTTGAAAACTGGGCCCATAATCAAAAATCTAAACACATGTTTAGATTCAGCATATCAAAGAACCCCAAGAATTCAATTTTTGTTAAAATCAAACTAAGTTTAATTTTGGACCCTTTGGACCTTAATGTAGACCAATTTAAAAACAGGACCCAAAATTAAAAATCTAAATACACGGTTAGATTTGGCATATCAAAGAACCCCAATAATTCAATTTTTGATGAAATCAAACAAAGTTTAATTTTGGACCCTTTAGACCTCAATATGAACCAATTTGATAGCGGGTCCACAAATAAAAAATCTAAATACATGGTTAGATTCAGCATATCAAAGAACCCCAAGAATTCAATTTTTGATGAAATCAAACAAAGTTTAATTTTGGACCCTTTTGACCTCAATGTGGACAAAGTTGATAACGGGGCCCAAAAATCAAAAATCTAAATACATGGTTAGATTCAGCATATCAAAGAACCCCATATATTCAATTTTTGTTGAAATCAAACAAAGTTTAATTTTGGACCCCGATTTGGACCAACTTGAAAACTGGGCCCATAATCAAAAATCTAAATACATGTTTAGATTCAGCATATCAAAGAACCCTAAAAATTCAATTTTTGTTAAAATCAAACTAAGTTTAATTTTGGACCCTTTTGACCTTAATGTAGACCAATTTGAAAACGGAACCAAAAATTAAGAATCTAAATACACGGTTAGATTCGGCATATCAAAGAACCCCAATAATTCAATTTTTGAAGAAATCAAACAAAGTTAAATTTTGGACCCTTTTGACCTCAATATGGACCAATTTAAAAACGGGGCCCAAAATCCAAAAACTTAATACTTGGTTAGATTCGGCATATTAAAGAACCCCAAGAATTCAAGAATAAAACCCCATTGAAATTGATCAAGAAATAAGCAATTTATACGAAGTATCTTCTTTTGCACAATACTGTGCAATTGAATATTTCTTGCTATTGTGCAATACTGTACAATTGACAATTTCTTGCTATTGCGCAATATTGTGCTATTGGATATTTCTTGCTATTGCGCAATACTGTGCAATTGAAGATTTCTTGCTATTGCGCAATACTGTGCAATTGAAGATTTCTTGCAATTGTGCAATACTGTGCAATTGAAAATTTCTTGCTATTGCACAATACTTATTATATAATAATTTACACATCCTGTTTGGTGTGTATCTCCTACCATATCATTATTATTTGCTTTTAAATATAAATCAGAAATAACCAACTTAAAATGGAAAATTTTAAAAGAAAAAAAAAAGGAAAAAAAGAAAAAAAAATAAAAAAAAAAAATTCCCCCCCCCCCCCAATTTTTTGAACCCCCTTATGATTCATCACCCCCAAACTCAATCCCAGCCTTCCCTTTGTGGTATGGTACCTTGCAGTACAATTTCAGAGAGATCCATACACTTGAACACAAGTTATTGTCTGGAAACTAGAAAAATGCTTATTTTTGGCCCCTTTTTGGCCCCCTATTCCTAAACGTTTCGGGCAATTACCCACAAACTCAATTCCAGCTTTCCCTTTGTGATATGGAACCTTGTAGTACAATTTCAGAAATATCCAAACACTTACACACAAGTTATTGTCATGAAACTAGAAAAATGCTTGTTTTTTGCCCCTTTTTTGGCCCCTAATTCCTAAAATTTTGAGGCAATTACCCCCAAAATCAATTACAGCCTTCCCTTTGTGATATGGAACCTTGTGGTACAATGTCAGAGAGATCCATACACTTACACACAAGTTATTGTCTGGAAGTTACAAAAATGCTTATTTTTGGCCCCTTTTTGGCCCCTAATTCCTTAACTGTTGGTACCATAACCCCCAAAATCAATCCCAACCTTCCTTTTATGGTATTGAACCTTATGGTAAAATTTCATGGAGATCCATTCACTTAAACTAAAGTTAGAGTGCGAAAACCAATGTGTCTTCGGACGACGCCGGACGACGACGACGACGACGACAACGACGACGACGACGACGACGCCAACGTCATACCAATATACGACCAAAAAATTTTCAATTTTTGCGGTCGTATAAAAACTTAATACTGAGAAATGAACCGTGAAAATGAGGTCAAGGTCAAATAAAACCTGCGAGACTGACATGTTCATCATAAAATATTTCCATACACCAAATACAGTTGACCTATTGCATATAGTATTAGAAAAAAAGACCAAAACTCAAAAACTTAACTTTGACCACTGAACCATGAAAATGAGGTCAAGGTCAGATGACACCTACCAGTTGGACATGTACACCTTACAATCATTCCATATACCAAATATAGTAGACCTACTGCTTATAGTATCTGATATATATGGACTTGACCACGAAAACTTAACCTTGTTCACTGATCCATGAAATGAGGTCGAGGTCAAATGAAAATTGTCTGACGGGCATGAGGACCTTGCAAGGTATGCACATACCAAATATAGTTATCCTATTACTCATTATAAGAAAGAAATTATTATTACAATAAAATGCTCCGCAGGGCGCAGCTTGATACGACCGCAGAGGTCGAACCCTGAACAGTTGGGGCAAGTATGGACACAACATTCAAGCTTGATACAGCTTTGCATTTGGATTGTGATTAAATATTTGACACAGCATAGGTTTCTGACACAGAATGAATGTGGTCTAAGAACTTAAAAATTTTAAATTGGACATT